AGATTTACTCAGGACTGTTTCCACTCGGACTTTAATACAGCTACACCATTGTTTGGTTTCCGTGGTAGCGCGTCTCTTTAGTAGCGCGCGCAACTGAGAGTCTGAGAGGGTGAGCTGATAGTCACAGAAAACAGAACAAGAATCGACAACTATACCCTCTGCCAGGCCCGCCTTAACCTGCCATCAGGCCCTGGGGCTGATGGTTTTGTAGGCCCCCTATTTAAACAACAAATCAAAGTCATTTATAGCCTCGGCAGGCTCTGTGATCGCACTTCTCCACTCTGCTCTATGCGCGCCTGGTCCTCTCCTCCAGATGAGTGACGTATCGGGCCTCCCTCATGTATTTGTCCGGTTGCCGTTGGCTCCCCTCCACGTAGCAAGTCCTCGTCGTCCTCTCCATCTCCTCCAACATCCCTCCTGTCTGTTTTTCCTCTCCCGCTACTCCATCGCTATCAGAACCAGATGGCCTACTTGGCTCCGAAGCCCCGCGGCCGGCACCGCTACCGCTCGGTACAGAACTAATCTGTCCTTCCTCCTCATCCTGGCCTACAGGTTTAAAATAACCTGTAAGCTTCGGCATTTTTTGTAATAGCTGCTTGTCTCGAAACTACTTTTCCCTCAACAATTTCCTTTTCCGAGCGCCACTCTCAAACTTTTTCTTCTCAAACTTTTTCTCCTAAACAACCTTCATCTGTCACTCAATCACTCGCAATTTGAATAAGTCACATGTGAAACATATTCTCATTCTGATTGGCTGTTAAGTGGTGCCCACTGACTGTTTCGGAGTCATCATTTTTGAGAAAAATCTCTGGAATCCATCGATCTGATTGATTAGCGGAGCAAATGATCAAAATACTACGGAGGGAAGATATTTTCTTTTGGATTACTGGTCTGGGGGAAGCTCACGTGTGTGTGTGTGTGTGTGTGTGTGTGTGTGTGTGGTGTGTGTGTGTGTGTGTGTGTGTGTGTGTGTGTGTGTGTGTGTGTGTGTGTGTGTGTGGTGTGTGTGTGTGTGTGTGTGTGTTGTGTGTGTGTGTGTGTGTTGTGTGTGTGTTGTGTGTGTGTGTGTGTGTTTTTGCGTTTGTGTGTATTGTGTTTGTTTCCCGGGGAAAACACTCACGAGAAACACCGGCTGTTGTTATGCCTGCTGTGACGTCAAGTTACTCCGTTCTCCGCTTGTAATTATGCCGAAGCTTCAAAGTTGTATTTATCATCTGAATTTTCCGAAAGAAGTTTAATATTCTGAAAGCCAAGACTTTGTTTATTTGAAACCAGATGAAAACAAACTGTAACGGACCCTGTCGTGTTATCTATGATTACTATACGCCTTACATTCATAATTTCAGCCGGAGGGAGGGGGAGTGAGTGGCGAGTGAGAGCTGTCATCTTCCCTTTACAAGCTTCAAAAATGTATTTATCGTGTGATTTTGAAAAGAAAAGTTTCATATTCTGAAAGCCAAGACGTTGTTTATTTAAATGTTTTTTAAAAACATCCGAAATAAAAAACTTTTTTTTTTTAATTTACTTTTTTTTTTTTTTTTACTTTTTTATTGGCTCATGATAGGCCCCTGATCTCCGTAGGCCCCTGGGCTTCAGCCCAAGTCAGCCCGTGCATTAAGGCGGCCCTGCCCTCTGCTCACTCCTTTCCTGAAAAATACAGGTCCAGCCCACACGCTACAGGCTTCAAGACAGTGCACTTCTTACAACTACAATAAGCATGTGCAGATGTTAATCTAATACAGCTCCGGTGAACCCCCCCCCCCCCCCCCCCCCGCGGTGATTCTCCCGGTTTCTGAGGTCTCAAGGTTGGCAAGTCTGGTGTCAGATGCAGTGATCTCAGAGATTCCACACAGTCTAATGCTGCGCTCGGATCATTACAGGATCCTCTGTTCGCTCTACAAGGACACAAAAGCCTGCCCTAAATTAGACAAGTGGGGAGTGAGAGGCATCACAAAGCAGCATCTGTCAAACACTATGTCCAGTTCTTCCATTACCATGAACTTCTTTCTCTTCCATTACATCATTTTTACCACAAAGTAAATGGAATGCATTATAGACCTTCTCCAGTTTTTCCGACCCCTTCAAGTGTTTTAGAGGCAGACACACATTCACACACCGTTAGCTGTACCATTGGGTGAAACTTGGGGATAGGTGTCTTTCCGAACATCAACATGTTGACTGCAGGGGCTGGTACGGAAGAAGATTAAGGCCCCATGTGATTTTTTTGCATGATCTGACCAAAAGTTATTTTTTATTTTTTAGATTGAAGTCAACATTATGAGATTAGAGTCAGAATTCTCAGTTTAATCTCTGAATTCTTAGAATAATTCTGCATTTTGTGATTTATTTCTACATTACATGTCATTGTTAGACGCTTTTATCCAAAGTGACTTACATACATTCAGTACTGTGGACAATCCCCACAGGAGCAATTTGGGGTGAAGTGTCTTGTCCAGGGACACAACGACATGCTGACTGCAGTGGGACTTGAACTTGCTATCCCTTGATTTGAAGTCCAGCACACTATCCACCCCCACCAAAGTTAAAAATGCTGTCCTACATAAGTTTGCCTCTGAGCTCCAAGGTTCTAATACGAGGACAGTAAAATAAAGTGTCCCTATTTCTCAGAATTCTGAGATTTAAGTGAAAATTTAGATTACTTTTCTCAAAAATTTGGACTTTTGTCTCAGAGTTCTGACTCTTAATCTCTTTAAAAAAAAAGTTTTTGGCAGATCTTGAAAAAAGTGTTTACATGTGGCCCTAATCCTCTTCCGTAGGCTGGGGGTCATTCCACCTATCTTTTGATTTCTTTAATTTTTTTACGTTTAATTTAGTTTAGTTTTCTTTTCAAAGTAAACTAATGTAAAAAGTGTCACATGTCCAAATTACACCAACTTGAGTTCCCAGAAATACTCCCACCAAATGTGAACAAACAAACTGTCTACAGTAGATGGTACATCTTGTGCAAATAAACCTTTTCCAAATTGTTCTCATGTATTACATCTCCTTGGGCACACTCTTTTCCGGAACATTGGTGGGGAAAAAAGTGGCCATTTCAAATGATTCGTAATGCTGATGCTTTTATCCAAAGTGACTTACTCTGAGTGCTTTCAAAAATTACAAAACAAACAAAAAAAGCTAAAACTCCTGCCGGTAAATTAGTTATCAATAAGCCAAAACATTGTGAGTGCTGCACTGCTCTTTTCAGTTGCAGCAGATTGTGAACAAAGCGTATCGATGGGATCTTCTGGGTAGAGCACAATTATAGGGGAGAAAATGCCACTTCAAGCAGCAGCAGCCCCATAAATAGAAAGCTTCCCCCGAGAACGGTGCAGAGGAAAGCTGGAAGTCCCCCCCCCTTCCCCCCCCCCACCAAAGTTAAAAATGCTGTCCTACATAAGTTTGCCTCTGAGCTCCAAGGTTCTGATACGAGGACAGTAAAATTAAGTGTCAGTAGTCAATGTGTTTATATTTTAGTGCATTTCCCTACACTTAAATATGTACTTTCTAAGTTACTTTATATAGGGATATATTGTGCGTTTAACTTGACTATGGTTATCTGAAGTTACATTTCAGATCCATCGATCAGGGGTAAGGGAAAAAGTGTAATAAGATGGAAGTCGATTTATATTTTGGAGTGTGTTTCTATGGCTACACTGTTTGTTAAATCGAAACACATGAATAAAATAAACACTGCAATCCCTCCCCCACCCCACTTTTCTTGTTTGTGCGTAAACATTGTCCTAGTAGTATGCTGCTGTTTTTCTTGTTGTGACTGTCTTAAAATATAATACAAATATTAATTGAATTTCAACATGTTAGACCTCTACGAGTTGTAAGAAGTCACAATAAAGAAGGACTTAAAGAGGCCCTATTATTCTTTTAATTCATGGTTTTCCCTCTCCTGTAGTGTGTTCTATAGGTTTGTGTGCATGTAAATGGTCTGCAAAGGCTAAAATCCCTGTGTGCATGGAGACATGTGACAGTATAGATACTAAAAACAAATGTGAAACTGAAAAGGAGTATCATATTGTCCTCTTTAAACATCTCAGATGGTATCAAGATAGCTGTTTAATTATCGACTATTTCACCAAAAAAAGCAAAGACATGTAGCAGAATCTTTCTTCTGCTCTACTTAAATAATCATCTTGGAGTCTCTCCAGATTTGGTGCAGACATGAACACAATTTCTCCAGTCTTGATCATTTAGTCCTAAAATCTAACATTTGAATAATTCAAACTGAAAGAATCACTTTGCAGTTTGAATCCTTGTTCCTGAAAGAGGAAAACAATCCTCAGTGGCCTCACATTATCTAACTTAAACTTAGTTACAGTGATGTAATATGCCTACCACCAGTTGTGCATAACATAGTACATTTACCGAGTACTACTTAGTACTATTTTGACAAACTTCTAGTAGGCTACATTATTTTTCGTTAAATGCTACACGTCTACTGCACCACATTTCAGATGCCAATAATTTACTTTAGTTTAGATAACACTCATAGTTACTATTTACATATAAAAATGTAAAACACATGCATATCATAAGAAACAGTACTAACAATCTACCAAGCGTTGTAAAATGTAATCCACATTGACATACAATGCTTACATTTGTTGACATTATTTTTTTTTTTATAATGAATTCAACAACAATAAATGACATCCAGTGTTTGTTATGATAAAAAGAGACCAAATAAATGCCATAACAGAGCCGTTCTACTTCCCTTTTTGTTGATAATACGAACTGTACTTCTATTTAGGTAACATTTTAATTCAGCATTTTTCCTGTAATAAGAGTATTTTAAGTCGAGGCTAGTTCTACTTTAAATACAGATCTGAGTAGACCTATACTTCCTCCTCTGAATAGCATAGAAACATAAGGTGTGTATTTAAGGTGTAGCCTATTCTACAATAACACCTGTTGAGTTACCTTTTAAACATAAAACACAAGAAACAATTTTCTATACGCTATTATCTCAAACAGCCTCGCCTCACCTCGTCCTCCAGCAGTGGAGGCAGATGCTCCAGATCATAAAACCTTTCCTCAGCTTTCCCGAAGTATGTGAACGCAGCATCGCTCCCCGAAGTGTCCATTGCAGCAGCTGTGGTTCCTTCAGGAGCTGAGCACAGTGTGGGAGCAGGCAGCGGTGTTTCCAGTGGATACGGATCGGATGGCATGCCTGTAATCTCCCTGCAGCCCGAGGACAAGCGGGGCCCGACTACTTCCTGCAGCTGATGGTCACTGCGGGTCCAAAACAACACCGGATAAACAGGCGGGCTCGCAGCAATGCGCCGAGTCTACCGCAGGCTGGGGGGGGGGGGGTTTCTGGCCGCGGTTGGTGGCTGTCATAGTAGCTGCTACACAGAAACAGAAACAGACAGAAGGCGATCCTCAGCTACAAATGTGTGATTCTTCAGGGGCGTTTCCTGGACCTGGAAACATTAGGGGCTTAGCCCACAGTTGTGTCGCCAGAGATTTTCTTTTGGGGGTGCTGAGGGGTAGCTTGACGTTTCATAGCTAGGGTGCTCAAACATGTAGGGTTTCCCATTAAGGTACCGGGTGCTACAGTTTAATTTTCTATTGCCACACTCCCCACACGCACAGTGTACCCGCGACTTGAAGGCTCGTGATCAGCTCACGGCATATAGGTGTAAGCAGGGGCGGACTGGCCATTGGGAATACCGGGAGTTTCCCCGGTGTGCCGGTGTTACCGAACAAGATGTGGGCCGAACAACTGGTGATATTCTATAACGGTATAGGCAGATGTATCAGGGGCGTGGCCTTTGTCGAATAACCAGGAAATACACATTTCGATCGCTTCTTCATATATAAATATTTTGGTATATTTGGCTCCATAGGAACACTTTGATGCACTTTCAGTACCAGTGTGTGAGGTTGTGGTTGCGATGCCGATATGCGCACGCGTACAGCGAGGACTACAAAAAGACACACGAGGTGACTGGGGATGTGTGTTCAATACATTGCAAGCTTGAATAAATAATTTAAACCATTTATTGTTGCCAGACTTATTACTGAATATCATGCTTAATGTGATACCAAGTCCATCTGAGACCTGTGCACACCTTCAGACAGCCTCCAAGTGAAGCACACAGTGTTTACTCACAGTTTGAAAGCAGCGTGGAGAAGTCTTCAGCTGTGGAGAGCTCCGCCCAGCTGTGATACGACTTATGTGGCTTGTTCTTGTTGTCAGTCTTATATTTGTATCATGTATCGTTATTAATATGATGTCGAGTTGATTTGAGACCCGTTTATACTTTCATACCATCTGAAACATACAGTCTGTCTGAGTTGTTTGCACCCATCTCCAACGCAGCGTGGAGAGCTGTGGTAAACAGTGATCCGCTCAGATTAAACTGTGATAGGAGTTCTGTGGCTATCAACCAGCGATCATGTTTAATATTAAAGACTACACACATGTATCCCTTATCAAAACGGTATTCTGCACTTTGCCGCACTTATCCAGATCAAATTTGACTGTTTACTCGTTTTGCAAAGATAGAAGCAGAAATGTCATTGCTACATTTGCAGGGATATTTAGAATTTAAAATGCTGCTTGATCGTTAATTTTGTTCTAGGCAAACAATATTATGAATCCTCTATTCAAAAATATTATTCAGTGTCCATCGACATGAAAATAACAAAAAAGTTCATGCTGGACTCAAACCCGAGTCCCAATAGCAAAAATCCTTCGTGCCATATGAGTGAGCCACGGATCAATACGATGAATTTTATCATCACAGGTTATTTTCTCACATTAACATTGTTAAAAGAGTCAGAGCAATTCAACCCGACCATCTTTTATAATGTGAGCAAATGTATGTAGGGCCTACACTTTAAGCCATATAATATAAATATTATAGTCATAGGCATTTGCTTTGAAATAGTATACTGACTGAGCATCATTGAGACCCACCGAGATCAGATATCCTAGTTCATCAGCCTGCGAGCCTACATTACGTTGTGATAAGTGGTCATTTTACGTATTATGTATTCTAGTCAGATTCTAGTGCACACATTAAGTTCACATATGCAAATCAGGCCATGTGTTTCGTTATGTAGTAGCTATAATCATCACCTGTCATGGAAATACAACAATAACAAGGAATTCATATTAATATTACCAAGTTACACAGAAATAGATAAAACACATGAGAACAAAGACCGCATAGACGTTAAGTTAGAAATGAAAACATGTTAACAACAGTGTGAAAAAGTATGAATATATGTGTTTCTAGTTCTCAACGTAGCCTATGTGAGTACCCTCGTCATTGGGTGTCGCTGTATCGAAATTTAACAGAGTAAACAGTCACATCTCATCTGGATAAGTGCGGCAAAGTGGAGAATACCGTTTTGATAAGGGATACATGTGTGCAGTCTTTAATATTAAACATGATCGCTGGTTGATAGCCACAGAAGTCGTATCACAGTTTAATCTGAGCGGATCACTGTTTACCACAGCTCTCCACGCTGCGTGTAAACAGCTCAGACAGACTGTATGTTTCACTAACAGATGGTATGAAAGTATAAACGGGTCTCAAATCAACTCGACATCATATTAATAATGAATCTGATACATGATACAAATATAAGACTGACAACAAGTACAAACCACAGAAGTCGTATCACAGTTTATCCTGGGCGGAGCTCTCCACAGCTGAAGACTTCTCCACGCTGCTTTCAAACTGTGAGTAAACAATGTGTGCTTCACTTGGAGGCTGTCTGAAGGTGTACACAGGTCTCAGATGGACTTGGTATCACATTAAGCATGATATTCAGTAATAAGTCTGGCAAAAATAAATGGTTTAAATTATTTATTCAACTTGCAATGTATTGAACACACATCCCCAGTTCACCTCATGTGTCTTTTGTAGTCCTCGCTGTACGCGTCCGCATATCGGCATCGCAACCACAAACCTCACACACTGGTACTGAAAGTGCATCAAAGTGTTCCTATGGAGCTAAATATACCAAAAGATTTATGTAAACGACAGAAGAAGCGATCGAAATGTGTATTTCCTGGTTATTCGACAAAGGCCACGCCCCAGATACATCTGCCTATACCGTTATAGAATATCACCAGTTGTTCGGCCCACATCTTGTTCGGTAACACCGGTGCTGTGTGTGGGCCGGAGGGCCAAAAAAAAATCCTGCCTAAATCCTACCGACCCACATTTGTAAGTGTTCCGGCCACTCCCTTTTTTTTTTTGCTTACCTAAATCCTACCGGCCCACATTTGTAAGTGTTCCGGCCCAGCCCAGCCCAGTGGGGTGTGGCCAGGGTTGGGTTGTAACGGAATACATGTAACGGTGTTACGTAATCAGAATACAAAAATCAAGTAACTGTATTCAGCTCGCGTTACATTTGAAAAACGAGTAATCTGATTACAGTTACTTTCGTAAACCTGAAGTGAATACATTTTGGATTACTTATTGAAATTATTGGTGGAAAGATTTCCTCACAACATTTAATATTCATTACTAAAGGTACAGCCGAATCATCACAGCGCACAAAACCGCACAGATGGACCAAAAAGGGGAGCGTTTGAAAAAAATGTGCGGGTCCGCTCAGTGAAACAATAACAACGTAACATGGAGGAACAAAAGTCTGCGTTTAAATCGTGTGTGTGTGTGTGTGTGTGTGTGTGTGTGGTGTGTGTGTGTGTGTGTGTGTGTGTGTGTGTGTGTGTGTGTGTGTGTAGAGGTGGGTGTGGTTAAAACACATCAGACACACCGCTCTTTAGGCCTTTCTAATGATTCTGAAGGTAAACACAGTGAAGGCGGTGCGTGAAAGGCACTGCGCGCTCCTCTTCTCAGAGGCTGAGTTAACCCTCCCGCTGCCTCCTGGTGCTGCAGAGATTTCATGAAGTGAAGGAGGTTTTCCTTCTATAAAACAGCTGGATGCTTCCTTCCTTCCTTCCTCCATGTGTCAAGTCAGGCAAATTGGGTCAAAATGTTATTGCATCAATGATCTGTTAACATTAAAATCACTAAATATATGCCGTAACTATTTTGCTCTAGGCAACTCAAGGGCTCAGGTAATGTGATTACTATATGAATAATTGTCCAAAATAACATAAAATGCATAGGGTTTTTTGTTAAGTAACATACTTTCGTCGCCGGCCGGCCGATACATGCCGCGCATTAAGTGGGCCTGTCTGTCAATTAATCCCGGGCCACTTTTCCCCCCCAGTCCGCCCCGGGTGTAAGCAGGGGTAAAGTACTATTTTTTATAATTGGAGGGCGGACTTCACCTCCTCTAGGGGGGTCCGGGGGCAAGCTCACCCGGGAAGATTTTTTTTTAAATATTGAAGTTAAAAGCATCAATCTGCGCACTTTGAGAGCAAAATGAAGAGATCTTGATACATCTCTCAACACCCATATGAAACAGAACTGTGAACAGATTTTCTTTTTCTTTATGGATATTTTACAAATCACTCCCCTTTTTAAACTGTATTCTTGTTTTACTGTCATTTACTGGGAGAGTGAGGTAAGTAAGTTGAGCCATTTTTTTTGTTATGCTGTCCTCTAAGCAAGGAGAAATTACACATAGTAAAAATGAAAGCACACACCTATAATTCAGGATGTCTCCTATCAATGGCAATGATAATAATTCATATTTGATGAAGGGCAGTGAAAATATTACTTCTAAAAAAAAGTGGTCTTGTGGGTCAACTTGCCCCAGTGTAGGGGTAAGTTGATCCAGGTCAGGGGGTACATTGAACCACTTCACTTTTTCATTTTTTCCAGTTTAAACTTGGGCATACCTACACAAAATCTTAAAGGTAACTTTAAACAATAAATAACAAACCAAATACCAGTTTAGTTTTTCAAATATTTTAATATAAATTTCGATTGAATTGATTGATTTTTTTTTAACATGTTAAAAGGAAAAGTAATCATACAAATGGTGATACAATTTCATACATCTTACCAATCAAACACAGGGTAAATTCAACTTTGATTGTAGCCTACAATGAGCTCTTATTATCAACTGGGCCTACTTTCATTGTGCTACCCCATTGAAAAACTGGCTCAACTTACCCCAAGGCCCATGGTTCACTTTACCCCATAGCCACCATTTTAGAAATAATTGCCTAGCTTAACAATTCAGAGTCATCTTTAGCTTAATGATTCACATGGTTTAATACGCTGCCAACACATCAACATATTCAATACATGTTTTTAAACCTGGATAGCC